GCACGCCTACTGCCCGAACAGTCCCCAAAGTTATCTGACGCGGTAGAGTTACACCTAATACAGATAACTCATGCCGTCGTTCCCGACAAGCCATCGAAGCCAAGGGCCAAAAAATCCCCAGGGTGCGACGACATTCGCCCACCTATGTTGAAAAATTTGCAAGTACCCCAAGTGCCCCACCATGCAGTCTCTGTCAACACTCTTTGGACGAACAAAAACTACCACGAGAGTGAAAACGGGCCATCCTCTCTCCTGTCTTCAAAGCAGGAGACATGCAGAGTCCAAAATGTTACAGACCCATAGCACTTCTACCAATAATATCAAACGTTATGGAGGGTGTGATAGACGACCGCATCGGGGAATATCCGGACACGAAGCAAGCACTCAGTGACGCTCAACATGGCTTCCGAAAGGGTAGGTCTTGTGCCTCCAACGTCCTGACGGCCCACGGTCACCGGACAGCATGCTGGGATCTCAAGGTTGCGGTCCATGAGCTTTTCCTGGATTTGGCCAAAGCCTTTGACACAGTCCCGCACACCATCCTAATACACGAAATAGCTAGGTTGGGCATCTGCGGCCGGGTGCTATCGTGGCTGCAGAACTACTTAGACAGTAGGGAGTTCTGCACAAAAGTCAACAGGGCCCACTCAACTTGGAGAACATCATCGTGCGATGTCTCACAAGGGGCAATCCTGGGTCCATTGTTGTTCCTACTATTCGTGAATGATCTCCCGCTGCATATCAGCTCTCCGATTCTCCTGTACACTGATGACGTCAAGTTATGGAGGGCGGTGACTTGCGAAGCGGAGTCGAGTGCACTACAGAACGACCTCAAAACAAATAACGAACTGGCATTTATCCCAGATAAATGTTGGCCCATGTTTTTCCGCACTGCTGGTCCCCAGAAAGCATCCTGCTCTCTCTTCCTGTGGTTTACATCTATCCCGTACCATGGCAGAAAAAGACCCCGGTTTAATGGTGACGAAGAAACTGGACACCGGTCCCAATCACCCAAAAGCTGCCCCAAAAGCATGAGGTGTACTGCAATTTGTGAGCAGATAACTAGGTGCCCTCACCCCAGAGCTCTTTACGAAGCTCTGCAAGACTTACATACGACCCCACCTGGAGGTTCATAATGTTTGCTGTCTACCGCAACTTAGAAGGGACTCGAACCTACTGGAGAAAGTTCAGAGGTGAGCCACAAAAGGGTTGTTGGGATGCAGCGAAAACCATATGACGACAGACTGAAAGACCAAGGCCTATATTCTCTGAGTTATCAAAGGTTACGAGGTGACTTGATAATGGCTCACAAAATGCTGAACGACTCAGGTTACCTGAACAGAGGATTACTACTGAGTGGTCAGCTAGCTGATCCTGGTGGAAACCCTCAGAGAATTGCCCACCAATGGTCAAAAACTCATGTGCGTTTTCACGTCTCCCTCCGAGTCTGTTGGCACTAGGATGCACTACCAGCAGAAGTAGTCTCCGCCCCATCTGTTGACACCTCCAAGAAAAGGCTAGACGGTCACGCAGAGACCCATGGTCTATTCACCTGTGGCTGGAATAAGAACTAAACAGAAAAATCTACTGCTGTCACGCCATTCCAACTATCTTACACCTACAACCAATTTTCTTTCTACTGTAATCATTTAATCTCCTTCCACCTCTTCCAATCGCCATGAGCCAGCCTTACTTACCTAAGTTCTTCATATCTTTGCACCCGTTTTCGCCTAACCTGGGTATAAGTAGACTACTGTATTATTATTATTATTATTAGTCCCTTGGGTTCCTAGTGGAACATAGGGCTTCAGTAGCACGCCTCCAGTGACCTCTGTTCTCTGAGATCTTTTGAACCTGGTCCACGACAGCCCAGAAGCTCTCATTTCCTCCTCGCACGACCTCCTCCATGTCACCCTCGGACGTCCAACTCGTCGCTTCCCATGGGGATTCCACTCGAGGGCCTGACGCGTGATGTCCTCAGTCGGCCTTCTCAGTGCATGGCCAATCCATCTCCACTTCTTCCTGCATATTTGTTGCGTGATAGGTTCTTGGTTGGTTCGTTCCCAGAGTTCCTTGTTGCTTATTTTTTCTGGCCATCTGATCTTCAGCAGCGAGCGTAAGCAGTTGTTGATGAATGTCTGTAGTTTATTGGAAATACCTTTCGTGACGCGCCAAGTCTCTGAGCCATACAAGAGCACTGACTTGACGTTGGTGTTGAAAATCCGTATCTTGTTCCGCATGCTGAGTGCAGAAGATCTCCACACTGGTTTCAGGCTAATGAACGCCTGTCTTGCTTTTCCGATTCTGACTTTGACGTCCTCGTCCGTCCCGCCTGTAGTTGAAACAGTGCTTCCTAGATAAGTGAAGGAGGTTACTTCCTTCAAGTTTCTCCCGTTGACGGTGATTGGAGTTTTGTTGTTGATGGTGGTGGTGCGGTATCTTCATCACTTCTGTCTTCTCTATATTCACCTGAAGTCCCGTCTTCGCTGCCTCTTCTATCAACTTGTTAGTTTTTGCCTGCAGATCTTCAAGTTTATGTGACATTAGGCATAAGTCATCGGCGAAATCCAAGTCTTCTAGGTTCTTTTCCGTCGTCCAGTGTATCCCCCTCTTCTCGCTGCCTACTGTTTGCTGCATGATCCAGTCCACCACAATAAGGAATATCATGGGGGATAGTAGGCAACCTTGTTTCACTCCTGTCTTCACTTCAAAGGCATCACTGAGCTTCCCATTGTGGATTACTTGGCATGTGGCATCTTCATATAGTTGTTGAATGAGGCGGATAAAGGTTTGCGGTACTCCGTAGTATTGAAGCAGTTTCCAAATTACTTCTCGGTCGACGCTGTCAAAGGCCTTCTCAAAGTCGATGAAGTTGAGGTATAGAGCTGATTGCCATTCTACGCTCTGTTCTATGATGATACGAAGCGTTGCAATTTGGTCAGCACATGATTTGTACTTCCTGAAGCCTGCCTGTTCCGGTCGCAGTTTTGAATCCAGTGCGTCTTTAAGCCTCTCCAGGATGATGCGGCTTAATATTTTACTTGGGGTGGACAGGAGAGTGATTCCGCGCCAGTTCTTGCAAGCACTGAGGTCTCCCTTCTTCGGCAGTTTGACAAGGTAACCCTTCTTCCAATCGTCAGGTACCTTCTCTTCCTTCCACACCTTCTGCAATAGTGGTGTGAGCATGTCCGCTGTTGTCTCTGCATCTGTTCTCAGTGCTTCTGGCGGTATTCCATCTGGTCCTGCTGCTTTCCCGCATTTCAGTAGCTTTATGGCGTTCAGGACTTCCATTTTCGTTGGGGGATTTATGTTCACTTGTAATTCAGCGGCTGCAGGTGGTATTTCTGGACGAAGTGCAGGTGGTGGTCGATTCAAGAGCTTCTTGAAGTGGTCGGCCCATCGTTTCCTCTGTTTCTCTTCTTTTGTAATTAAATTTCCTTCTTCATCTTTTATTGGTTTCATCTGTGTTGGTCTCTTCCCTGATAGCAACCTGGTTATTTGATACAATGTCGTCAGGTCTCTCTTACCTGCAGCCTGTTCTGCTTCACTTGCCAGTGTGTCGTAGAAGTGTCTTTTGTCTTTGCGTGCACTCTTCTTCACTTCTTTATCCAGTGTTTTATACATTGTGCTCAGTTCCTCTTGTCGTTGAGCATCCTTGCACTGGTTTATCTTCTGCTTCACCATCCTCCTCTCCTCTATCAGCTTCCAGGTATCCGTCGAGATCCATTCCTTGTCTTCTTTCTTCTTCCTTCCTAATACTGTTGTGCAGGTTTCTTTCCACATAGCTTTCAAAGACTTCCAGTGTTCTTCCACACAGGTTTCTTCAGGGATGTTCCTCGATGTCTCCCATTTTGTCTTGATGGCTGCTTTGAAGATCTCCTTTGTAGTTTCATCCTTCAGTTTCCGAGTGTTGTACTTGAATTGAGGTCTATCACCAGCTTCCTTGAAGGCTTTTAACTTGATTTGGAAGGTTCCTTGCACTAGATAGTGGTCTGAACCTACATCTGCTCCTCTTCTTGACCTTGTGTTAAGTAGACTGCGTCTCCATTTTCTTGAGATTGAGATAAAGTCGATTTGATTTTTAGTGTGTCCATCTGGTGAAGTCCATGTCGCTTTGTGGATATCCTTGTGCCTGAACACACTGCCTCCAATCACCAAATCGTTGAATGCGCAGAATTCTGCAAACAATTCTCCATTCTCATTCATTTCACCTAGCGCCTCTCGACCCATGGTTAGTTCTCTTCCCGTGTTGTCCCCTCCCAGTTTGGCATTCATGTCGCCCATTAGAATTTTGATATCGCCAACTGACGTCTTGTCCAGTGTTGATTGAAGTTGTCTGTAGAATTCCTCCTTTTTCTCTTGCTCTGCATTATTTGTAGGTGCATAACATTGTATGATTGTGACCTTTCTTCCTTTTGAGTTGAATCTTGCTGTCATGATCCTGGAGGAGATTGGTTCCCACTGCATGAGAGCCTTCGATGCTCTTGAGGACATCATGATAGCCACTCCCTCAGTGTGCTCGTGGTTGGCGTCTGGGTGACCGGAGTAGATTATTGATTCTCCAGTTGACAGTTTGGAGAGTCCACTCCCATTCCATCTGCTTTCGCAAATCCCAAGCACTTCGATGTTATACCTTCTCATCTCCTTTGCAATCTGGGCTGCCTTACTGGGTTCAAACATCGTGCGGACATTCCATGTCCCCACGTTTACTTTCGCTTTCATCGAGAGAAGACACATCGGCCAATTGGCTTCCCGAAGGCTTTCACCAACTGGCGTCATTTCGCCTCTCCGATTCCAGCGGGGAATAAGTTTGTTTTCATTTTTTATATTTTGTTTGTGCTTTGAAGTTTCTTTAGCGGTTAGATTTGTTTTACGGGGTAGGGTTGCTAGCCCTATGCCCAACCTTCCCTCTTTACCCGGGCTTAGGACCGGCTAGTAACTAGTAAACTAGTTAACCAGGCGAGGTTAGACTACTGTATTAGTTCACCTTTTTTCAAGGTCATTAGCGCACCTGTTGAGTTCGGCCTTGGGCTTCATTTTTTGGTGCTTTTCGAGTTGATAGCTCAGTTTTTCCTATCATTTCCGTTCCTGATTTTCGTGATCACCGTCGAACTGTTCTGTGATTTTCTCAGAAGTGAAGTAACTACGGACCAGACAAAAATCCGGCAACAACTGTTCGTTACAAAGGGGATATGTGTAGTTGATTATCAATGTACATGGGTTCTGCAGAAGACCATGTCTTTGCAGATACTTGTAAATCGTTTACCTGTAAACCGACCAAACTTGTTTGGGTTTCCGGCATCCAAAGAATTATCACGCATATAATTTAAGAGCGTTTTTCTCGCAGTTTGTTGAATCCTCCAGATTCTTATGCTTCCATTATCGACATAGACCGGATTTGAATGAGTTAGAAAACACCGAAGAAGTAGATGGGCTTCAAATCTTTGGCTGCATTAAGAGAAAAAATAGAAGCAAAGTAACATGTTGTGCAATCTTGTCGATACTTGGAGAACACGCTGATGAGCTCTTTCGTCTGTACAACCGTCTCAACTGGCTAGATGAAAAGGACGACATGCCGCTGGACTTAAAATGCACTTTGCGGCCAATAAATGGAACAGTGGAAGGTATGAAGGGGTTCACTTTCCTTATCGATAATATTTTCAGAGTTCAACCATTTGCCTGAATTCAGACCCTTGTCTTGGATGCCTCGGGGAAACGTCGGTACACCCACCCAACATTTTTTTAATTTAGTAAAGGAATGTAAACTACAAAGCTCTATAATTTCGAAACTTCATTTGGACTTCGCTATCCGTGCAAAAATCCGTAAATATGGCGCTGTTCCTTTTATCTATGACGACTCATCGGTAAACAGTGCACAACCAAATTCTTCTCCGGACCTACAGACTGATCGCCCTAATTGTAATGTTACTAGAAGGTCCGTCTCAATTAAGGTATGTGCACGGTAAATTCGTTTAACTTTTTACTGCGATTGCAAAGTTTCTCATCATCAAGTTTCTGCGACAAAAGACAGTTTGTAGGGATTTTTGACAAGCCTTCGGTACGTGTATATTTTTCGAATAATAGTACTGAAAGAAGAAATCAGCATAGGATCTGTCACAGAAGCGCATCACTTAAAATTCCTACACTTAACAGTGGCAGCCAAAGAAAACAGTAAAATAGAGAAAAGCCTATGAAACGAGTGGAATAGATAAGCGGAGTCTAATGTATGCACCCGTACCACTGTAATAAATTTTCTCCATATAACCTATGTTATTAAAAGTTCACAACTTAATGAAGTGATTCGCTTTCCTTTCTCATGACTTCAGCTGCAAACTCAACATTAGTCACATGGCGATTCCACCAAATGCCGCGAATACACAATGAAAAACTTGTGATCACTTAACATTTGAGTCTAGTGAACATGGAGGTGAAGACAGTGACAAATTGCAGGGTCCTCTAAACGCCTTGAGCAGAAATATGAGTATGTTTGGCGTGCGTTTCACATCTGTCAAACGTAATATGATGCTCCTGGACTGGTCTGTAACCACTCCCAGCTTAATGGGGAGTGAAGTGGTGGAATGTGTCGACCACTTCGCTTAATTGGGGAGTGGAGCTGTAGGTCAGTGTCTAGAGAGGTGATAATCGGACATTGGGTCACGGGCTCCAGCGCCGCCCCAAGGTTCGGGCAGCCAGGTAGTAGCACTAGCCTTCACGTAATAGATGTGGCTCATTGCTTTCTGCACGAATGTTCATAAAGTCGCTGAGTGCTTACCTGGTGAGTCGCATCAACTCAAACGGGATAGTTGCAGATGAAATCTCAGCTTGGATACAGAAGGCCCGTTTGGCATTTGCCAACTTGCGTCATCTATGGCACTAACCGGTGAGATATCTGACTATCTATTAAGAGACGAGTGTACTACGTTACACTGCGTTCTGTCCTGTTATGCGGCTGTGAGACATAAGTTTTGAAAGTAGAAGACCCGAAACCGTAACAGGGTTTTGATCACAGATGTCTTTGTAAGATTGCTCACGTTTGTTGAAATCACCGTGTGAGCAATGTTGAGGTCAGGCGAAGGAAACCAGACAAGACAAGCAAGTCGATTGGTGAGCTCATGAAGCTTCAGGGGATGAAGTGGCTTGGAAGTGTGTTGTAAATGCCGAGTCACCGCCCACCTCGACGTGGGATGCTAGAGGAAGTTGGATTAATTTGGAAGAGGGTTCGTGATGGCCAGACCTAGACGTGGGACCAATCAACGGAGTCCCTGACTGTTGATCTGAGTGGTGTGAGATGTAGACTGCCCACGAAACGGTGGGCATCAGTGTTTGAGAACTCTTGGTGACATGACCGAAAATCGATCATATTGGCGCAGATGTATTCACTCTCTGACGTCTTTTAAGGCTTGAATATTCGCACTAACATTTGTCTTCAGATTGTTTATTCTCTCACAAAACTTAGTCTATTTTGGTATTAGCTATATTCTATCCACCTGTTCTTTGTATACGACTGTGGTGTGGTAACTTGAACCGATTTACTTGTGTGCGAGATTCCACGTTGATTTTGTTTGTCTTGTCTAGTAGCCACCATTAATCGGCTTAACACGCTTCATTTTCTAATCCCTTCCTTTCCAACAGGAAAGATGGAATAGCATGGTACTTCTGGTCATTGAGGAGAAACGCTTTATTGCTGTTAAATCCGCACCCGACCAGCAGTACGTCTTGGTCCTCAGATACCCGCCGTAGAGTAGTAGTTTGCCCTATGGAAGTAACTTTTTTTCTTACCACCGTTCAATAGATCTCGTATGATAAAACTTTAAAAAATAAATATTCCCACTTATTCATTGCAATATGGAGCCCGATCACCACGTCAAGGTAGCAGGTGTTGGTCAAAGCATTGTAATTAAAAAACGTATGGCTGATTGTCTGTTTTCTCTTGCTGACCTTTTTTCAAATCTATGTTTTGAAAATGCAGCTCAAGGACCTCTGGCCTATTTTTGCTAAATATCAGTTGAATAATGTACAAGCTTACCTTCAGGATTCTGTCTTGATGTTGTTTCACCAACTACAATTTACTGCAAGTAACACCTTATGTACTGACCACTTCAACTCAAATGAGTCTGCAACGAAAGTAGGTCCAACAACTTCAGAGTGGCAGCTGTTGTTTGGGGTACTAGGTGTGTTATGATAACTATGTGTAAACGAGAAAACTTAACAGTTGCCTGGAGACAGCTTAGTGCAAAAATCAAATGGAGAATAATTGATTACTTACCACTATAGGGTTTGGAGTGGTGGAGCATTATTCGTCCAAGCATATGCAAGTAGAACTATCTCAACGGTCTATAATAAAATTCCTGACGAAGATACGCTGTAATTCGATATGAAAAACTGTAGTGACTAATTTTGAAACATGTTGCAACCATAAAAGTAGCTGTTATCTAGTTTACACAGCTGTCAAGCGTCGGGTGTAAGCGACTTAAGGTATATCACAAAATTTTCTGTTTAACGACGCGGTCTGAAGCAGTTCATCTTTCTCACTAATCATGATAAGTAACCTGTCAGAGGGGGTAATTAAAGGGGTCATCTGTGGTAGTAGAAAACGTCTGAAATGAAACAATTTACTACTCCTCCGTCCATCATAAAGTCTGTTTAGTTGCCGGATGACGAATATGGTATGTAGTTTTCTGCAGCAGTGAATAGTTGTCGTCAGTAAATTGTGCACACAACCCTCACTATTCAATGCTCTCCTCAGTTGAACATAGCATTTAAGGTTGTTAATATGACTACCAGTTGCATGACGTGCATTATTATTATTATTATTAGTCCCTTGGGTTCCTAGTGGAACATAGGGCTTCAGTAGCACGCCTCCAGTGACCTCTGTTCTCTGAGATCTTTTGAACCTGGTCCCACGACAGCCCAGAAGCTCTCATTTCCTGCTCGCACGACCTCCTCCATGTCACCCTCGGACGTCCAACTCGTCGCTTCCCATGGGGATTCCACTCGAGGGCCTGACGCGTGATGTCCTCCGTCGGCCTTCTCAGTGCATGGCCAATCCATCTCCACTTCTTCCTGCATATTTGTTGCGTGATAGGTTCTTGGTTGGTTCGTTCCCAGAGTTCCTTGTTGCTTATTTTTTCTGGCCATCTGATCTTCAGCAGCGAGCGTAAGCAGTTGTTGATGAATGTCTGTAGTTTATTGGAAATACCTTTCGTGACGCGCCAAGTCTCTGAGCCATACAAGAGCACTGACTTGACGTTGGTGTTGAAAATCCGTATCTTGTTCCGCATGCTGAGTGCAGAAGATCTCCACACTGGTTTCAGGCTAATGAACGCCTGTCTTGCTTTTCCGATTCTGACTTTGACGTCCTCGTCCGTCCCGCCTGTAGTTGAAACAGTGCTTCCTAGATAAGTGAAGGAGGTTACTTCCTTTAAGTTTCTCCCGTTGACGGTGATTGGAGTTTGTTGTTGTTGTTGTTGATGGTGGTGGTGCGGTATCTTCATCACTTCTGTCTTCTCTATATTCACCTGAAGTCCCGTCTTCGCTGCCTCTTCTATCAACTTGTTAGTTTTTGCCTGCAGATCTTCAAGTTTATGTGACATTAGGCATAAGTCATCGGCGAAATCCAAGTCTTCTAGGTTCTTTTCCGTCGTCCAGTGTATCCCCCTCTTCTCGCTGCCTACTGTTTGCTGCATGATCCAGTCCACCACAATCAAGAATATCATGGGGGATAGTAGGCAACCTTGTTTCACTCCTGTCTTCACTTCAAAGGCATCACTGAGCTTCCCATTGTGGATTACTTGGCATGTAGCATCTTCATATAGTTGTTGAATGAGGCGGATAAAGGTTTGCGGTACTCCGTAGTATTGAAGCAGTTTCCAAATTACTTCTCGGTCGACGCTGTCAAAGGCCTTCTCAAAGTCGATGAAGTTGAGGTGGAGAGGTGATTGCCATTCTATGCTCTGTTCTATGATGATACGAAGCGTTGCAATTTGGTCTGCACATGATTTGTACTTCCTGAAGCCTGCCTGTTCCGGTCGTAGTTTTGAATCCAGTGCATCCCTTAGCCTCTCCAGGATGATGCGGCTTAATATTTTACTTGGGGTGGACAGGAGAGTGATTCCGCGCCAGTTCTTGCAAGCACTGAGGTCTCCCTTCTTCGGCAGTTTGACAAGGTAACCCTTCTTCCAATCGTCAGGTACCTTCTCTTCCTTCCACACCTTCTGCAATAGTGGTGTGAGCATGGCCGCTGTTGTCTCTGCATCTGTTTTCAGTGCTTCTGGCGGTATTCCATCTGGTCCTGCTGCTTTCCCGCATTTCAGTAGCTTTATGGCGTTCAGGACTTCCATTTTCGTTGGGGGATTAATGTTCACTTGTAGTTCAGCGGCTGCAGGTGGTATTTCTGGACGAAGTGCAGGTGGTGGTCGATTCAAGAGCTTCTTGAAGTGGTCGGCCCATCGTTTCCTCTGTTTCTCTTCTTTCGTAATTAAATTTCCTTCTTCATCTTTTATTGGTTTCATCTGTGTTGGTCTCTTCCCTGATAGCAACCTGGTTATTTGATACAATGTCGTCAGGTCTCTCTTACCTGCAGCCTGTTCTGCTTCACTTGCCAGTGTTTCGTAGAAGTGTCTTTTGTCTTTGCGTGCACTCTTCTTCACTTCTTTGTCCAGTGTTTTATACATTGTGCTCAGTTCCTCTTGTCGTTGAGCATCCTTGCACTGGTTTATCTTCTGCTTCACCATCCTCCTCTCCTCTATCAGCTTCCAGGTATCCGTCGAGATCCATTCCTTGTCTTCTTTCTTCTTCCTTCCTAATACTGTTGTGCAGGTTTCTTTCCACATAGCTTTCAAAGACTTCCAGTGTTCTTCCACACAGGTTTCTTCAGGGATGTTGCTCGATGTCTCCCATTTTGTCTTGATGGCTGCCTTGAAGATCTCCTTTGTAGTTTCATCCTTCAGTTTCCGAGTGTTGTACTTGAATTGAGGTCTATCACCAGCTTCCTTGAAGGCTTTTAACTTGATTTGGAAGGTTCCTTGCACTAGGTAGTGGTCTGAACCTACATCTGCTCCTCTTCTTGACCTTGTGTTAAGTAGACTGCGTCTCCATTTTCTTGAGATTGAGATAAAGTCGATTTGATTTTTAGTGTGTCCATCTGGTGAAATCCATGTCGCTTTGTGGATATCTTTGTGCCTGAACACACTGCCTCCAATCACCAAATCGTTGAATGCGCAGAATTCTGCAAACAATTCTCCATTCTCATTCATTTCACCTAGTGCCTCTCGACCCATGGTTAGTTCTCTTCCCGTGTTGTCCCCTCCCAGTTTGGCATTCATGTCGCCCATTAGAATTTTGATATCGCCAACTGACGTCTTGTCCAGTGTTGATTGAAGTTGTCTGTAGAATTCCTCCTTTTTCTCTTGCTCTGCATTATTTGTAGGTGCATAACATTGTATGATTGTGACCTTTCTTCCTTTTGAGTTGAATCTTGCTGTCATGATCCTGGAGGAGATTGGTTCCCACTGCATGAGAGCCTTCGATGCTCTTGAGGACATCATGATAGCCACTCCCTCAGTGTGCTCGTGGTTGGCGTCTGGGTGACCGGAGTAGATTATTGATTCTCCAGTTGACAGTTTGGAGAGTCCACTCCCATTCCATCTGCTTTCGCAAATCCCAAGCACTTCGATGTTATACCTTCTCATCTCCTTTGCAATCTGGGCTGCCTTACTGGGTTCAAACATCGTGCGGACATTCCATGTCCCCACGTTTACTTTCGCTTTCATCGAGAGAAGACACATCGGCCAATTGGCTTCCCGAAGGCTTTCACCAACTGGCGTCATTTCGCCTCTCCGATTCCAGCGGGGAATAAGTTTGTTTTCATTTTTTATATTTTGTTTGTGCTTTGAAGTTTCTTTAGCGGTTAGATTTGTTTTACGGGGTAGGGTTGCTAGCCCTATGCCCAACCTTCCCTCTTTACCCGGGCTTAGGACCGGCTAGTAACTAGTAAACTAGTTAACCAGGCGAGGTTGCATGACGTGCATGGTTACACTAATCCATAAATGCACATTGTCTATCCATATTTACTCCGCTGTTTGCACCTACACTTTTAGGGCTGGGGTCTATGTGACGGTAGACACTAGTGGTTGGGACTAAGCAATGTGGCTCAGAATCGGTGTCAGTAGGATAGATGTATCCACGCTTTATCTCCATCTGAGCTACTATACTGAATTCAGCATTTTCTCATTCCTCCTCCCTTTTTTCACTCCTTTCGACTGCTCTTGATCAAGTTTCTTTCCTTCTTTCTCTCTCTTCATTTTTCATTTTACTACTCTGTTACTTGTGCTAATGTGAGGTGTGACAACTTGGACTGTTATTCAGTTTTGCCTAGTCTTATTTTGGCATTGACTGGTTGCACTTTTAGAGATTGAGTTTAAGTGAATAAACTTGTTGCATTGCAGAACATACCTGGGGGAGTACTAAAAACTGAAAAATATCTTACAGAATATTTCTCAAAAGACTGGAAGAATTTCTCAATACTCGTTATCGTGACTATTCACAAATTTATACCTTTGTTTCTGTCTTCAAAATCTTAAGTATTTTCACTGATCTTCATCTATGTATTCTCTCTTCCTTCTTACACGTTCAGCTTAATGTTGTTTCTCCTCTCTCCACTTTTTATTTGCAAGCGTTTGAATTTCTACGAACTGAAGTGATGCACTTCTGTGTTAGGAACCACACTGGCTTGTCAACTTAGCTTAACGCTACTTTTTAGTGTGGTTTAGTGGTCAAACTTATCATTGAGTTGCGGCTTATTAATTGTTTTCACATTTTCATTGTCTAAGTAGAAGAATTTATTATGTTTTATACAGCACAACCCATCTTTCAAGGATACTTTTGGTCATATCTCATCAGTGGATTTCGATGATGGTGATGATGATATTCCGGAAGAATGGGATCGTTTCGAAGCATTACATGATGATCCATACAATCTAGACAGAGGAAATAAGGCACAGCTGAAATATGAAAGTAAAGTTGAACTCGTATGGGAAAAAGGTGGTTCTGGTTTAGTTTTCCATACGGATCAACGTACCTGGGAAAAGTTGGACCCACTAAGAAAAGAAGAAATTTTTGATGAACCTTCGTCTTTCGATTGGGATATTGACATGCAACCATATGAAGCACCAACTGCAATAGGAAGTGGTCCAACTCCGAATGGATTTACTGGTGCAGAGAGAGATACAGCTGAACTTATTGATATAAATCGGGAAAAAGAATCTATGGACGTTCAAGATCTTGCATACAACGTATATGCTGCCTTTTCAAATGAAGTAATTACCAAAGTGAGTTCTTTTAACAACTATTTTTGCTAAACAAGATTATCACTGACTAAGGGTAAATTGGTTACAAATAAATGAATGCCCATCATAATGTGTATTTCTTTCGCATCACTTCTGTTACTGCTGTGCGACTGTGATCATATGCGTATGCGTCGTATTATATATATATATAAATATATATATATATATATATATATATATATATTTATTATTATTATTATTATTATTATTATTATTATTATTATTATTATTATTATTATTAGTCCCTTGGGTTCCTAGTGGAACATAGGGCTTCAGTAGCACGCCTCCAGTGACCTCTGTTCTCTAAGATCTTTTGAACCTGGTCCCACGACAGCCCAGAAGCTCTCATTTCTTCCTCGCACGACCTCCTCCATGTCACCCTCGGACGTCCAACTCGTCGCTTCCCATGGGGATTCCACTCGAGGGCCTGACGCGTGATGTCCTCCGTCGGCCTTCTCAGTGCATGGCCAATCCATCTCCACTTCTTCCAGCATATTTGTTGCGTGATAGGTTCTTGGTTGGTTCGTTCCCAGAGTTCCTTGTTGCTTATTCTTTCTGGCCATCTGATCTTCAGCAGCGAGCGTAAGCAGTTGTTGATGGATGTCTGTAGTTTATTGGAAATACCTTTCGTGACGCGCCAAGTCTCTGAGCCATACAAGAGCACTGACTTGACGTTGGTGTTGAAAATCCGTATCTTGTTCCACATGCTGAGTGCGGAAGATCCCCACACTGGTTTCAGGCTAATGAACGCCTGTCTTGCTTTTCCGATTCTGACTTTGACGTCCTCGTCCGTCCCGCCTGTAGTTGAAACAGTGCTTCCTAGATAAGTGAAGGAGGTTACTTCCTTCAAGTTTCTCCCGTTGACGGTGATTGGAGTTTGTTGTTGTTGTTGTTGATGGTGGTGGTGCGGTATCTTCATCACTTCTGTCTTCTCTATATTCACCTGAAGTCCCGTCTTAGCTGCCTCTTCTATCAACTTGTTAGTTTTTGCCTGCAGATCTTCAAGTTTGTGTGACATTAGGCATAAGTCATCGGCGAAATCCAAGTCTTCTAGGTTCTTTTCCGTCGTCCAGTGTATCCCCCTCTTCTCGCTGCCTACTGTTTGCTGCATGATCCAGTCCACCACAATAAGGAATATCATGGGGATAGTAGGCAACCTTGTTTCACTCCTGTCTTCACTTCAAAAGCATCACTGAGCTTCCCATTGTGGATTACTTGACATGTGGCATCTTCATATAGTTGTTGAATGAGGCGGATAAAGGTTTGCGGTACTCCGTAGTATATATATACTCCGTATATATATATATATATATATATATATATATATATATATATATATATGTCTTGTGAGAAATTACCAATGACTGAAATACCTCGGATTACCACGGCTCCCACAAGCACTTAGGTATATGGCTCAGTGTAGATAAATAGTACATAGTTGGTTTCTGCCGTATTTTGGTCTGGTATGCTGAAACCTTATGTTGATTTTGTCCTGCTCCTCCTTATCTGACTTTTAGAAAGAGATAATTATCAGAACTACACGTGTAGTTCGGGAATTTAAATTGCCGAGAAGTTATTAATCTAATATCAGTAGTGGCACAACAGCTACAAGACAGGAATGTGAAGGCAACAAAAGATATGTTATGAAATACCAGGGATTTGAAAAGAAATAATACGTGGCTTGGGTGTATTTTGAGTTGTATTGCCTAAATTTTATAACTCTCGATTTCACTTGTGTTGTGCACACCACTCATGGAGTATATAGTTCTCTATGAATCAATAATACGATTCAAACCAGTACAGTTGACTATGTACTAGACTGCGAGCCGCATTTTAATGTTATGACTTACGAAACTACTTGGCTGCCTAAACTGAATAATGTGGATTTTTATACGGCTCAGACAAACAGTTAACGATCCAATAAATTGGTATTACATCTTGATACTACCCCTACTTCAACTAATGTTGTATATTCAGCCAGGTGGTAGCTCAGTATGTTTAAGTGGAGCTGCGGCTCATTATTCTGGACACTCAACTTCCAAATAAAGGAAACGAGTTCGAACCCAGCTCCACCTGAGGTTCGGGCAGCCAGGTAGTATCATTAGCCGTCACTCAATAGGTGTGACTCATTACCTGCTACATGAATCTGCAAAAGGTTGTTGACTATTCAATTCCTTCCACGTGCTTAACGCATGTCGCATTCTCAGTCTTGTTAAAAAAATTCACTTCTTTTCAGTACTCTTTTCTAAACCTGCATATTATTCATTGAGTGATACAATCATTCGTGACTGGAGTTGCTTAGGTAACTCTCATCAATTTCTTATAGTCTTCTCAACACCACCAGGTTTAATAACCGTGTTCCATAACAAAGTAGGATGAAGGAACGCAGTGCTGTTCAGTACATTCAGCTTTTGATAAGGATAAGTGAAGTAAGGTGGTTAAAACCAACTATGCTTCTTCTCTCCATTACTTCATCAACTACTAGTCTATGCAGCTGATGTGGCCCTAAGTAAACAAAGTGGTATACACAGTCAACCACCTTGTCTCCAATTGTTAGACGAGCCTCAGGGCGGACCAGTCGTAAAGAAACTCTGGAATTAGGAAGCGTATATCAGAATTTCTTGTATTAACATTCTTACTTTTCTGAATATTTCACTCTGTAACTTTCTTTACTTGTTAAGATAAGAGTACATCATCCGCCTGCTGTAAATCTAACAAGTTTTATGCGTGCACTTTGTTAATATTTCATTTCTGGGTACATCATGAACACTAAGAAACTAACCATTCAAAGTAATACAACATTATGAAGAAGTAAAGCAAATATTTAAAGGAAAAATGCAGTAGTTGAGAGTAAAGAAGGAACAGTCATAGGAGATATATTCTCAAAGTCTACCATTTTACTCTGTTATGCTTCCTAACAAATGAAGATGCAGACAAACTATATCACGGTAGCCACTGGTCTTAATTCCGTACTGATCTCACCTCAACTCAAGTGGGTTGCGTAATCTCGTCAACTTTGCTCATGGAGTCGATGTATGATGTATGCCAAATGATTATAAATATCCTTCATTCTGCGGTGTCATTGTGAGCTGATCATCTTTTTCTCCACTGAGGTAGTTATGTGTAAGAGTTTTGGACAGTTTTGATATTGTAACACTTCATCAGGCAAGAGGCTTTGTGGTGATATCTCAAATAAAAAATAATTTAGTGGATAAAATTGTTGAGTTCTTCGTGCTAGAGCGCTTAACTTCGTTTCAGGACTTACGATAAACTGTCGTTTTAAGTAATCGCATCAGTCGGTGTTAATCAGGTATAATAATCCCATTTATGTTACAGATATGCTTGTCAAAATAATATTCTCATACTTCTGAGGGTTTATTAGCTAGCTACCTAAAAAACATCTGATTAACCTAGTCAGGGTATCTGTTAAACAATGTCAATAAATTTCAGTCCTCTGTACAAGTGGGTAGAAAACATGGTTGTTTGGTTTAGTTCGAATTCAAGAGATGCAAAACTTTCTTTACTAAGTAGCCTGCTGTCATCTTAATTATTATTATCTTATTGATATTTTCATTGTGCTAGAAGTCTAGTTACGAATATGTAAGGTTTCCTTGAAATTGCACCTACATCTCTTACTATACTGAAGATACTTTCAGATAACTTCACGTCTTTTAAGGATCCAGTGCACTACATTGAATCGTTTTTTGTGATACTTTGTGGCTACAAGGTTAAAGGTATTTAGAACTTACAAATATTTGATGTCTGATGGTTCTGATATATTACACTCATCTGTGTTGTAACTGCTAAGTGGAAAATGTTGCGTTTCCACGTTACGGTTGTAGTAAATCTGTGGAGGAGACTGTTAGCCCACACAATAAAGTGATTGTTATTTATAACAGACGTTTATCCAATGATATCTCACAATATTTACCTGATTTCCAAATTTTAAGCAGGTAACAATTAGTGTGAACTTACAGTTTGCTGGTTAAAAAAATCCCCAGACAGCTTGGCTACAGCTCCACACCAACTACAGTGTCGGTGGTCAAGTGTACACAACATTCCTCTGATTTTCAGCATTTTGGCATTTATCGGAACACTTCAGCAATTATCTTCCCGACCAAGTTTGATGCGATTTTAAGTCTGCTGCTGCTGCAGCAGGAAAGTAGTAACCTGCAAACAGTGTATTCTTACGCTCCTTCATCTAAAAAGTGCCGTGAAACAACTACGTTTTAAATGCTGAAAATTCACTCGTTGGAATTTGCTGTTAATCAATTTTGTCTTTTGTCGTCAATTTTTTTCCACAGGGCTACGGTGGACGAATCCTAGAACGCATGGGTTGGACTCCTGGTACTGCACTTAGTGTCAAGAGCAGCCATTCTAAAGTCACTTCTGGCCTAATCGACCCCATCACCTGTGAAGGTAGTCTTCCTCCTAAAGTTCGTACGGGTCTTGGTTACTATGGTCCACGTATCCTACGCAATTCCTGTAAGAAAATGCTAAACCCAGGATCGACTTTCATCAATAAAGAACAGAAGTTGAAATCTGTGTACATTCGGTCTGTGTTTGATTCTCCACAAACTGTCGCTCGTCGTAGTGGACTTGGTTTGTTTCCTAGTCTTTTGAGGCGTAATGACCCTGGATTGGTCGTAAAATGGTTAAGTGATAAAAAGGTTTCATCTACTTCACCAACTGAATCGACTGTACCGTTGGATGAACGAATTTTAATCAAAAATAGAACTATTATATTGAATAGTTATGGCAATTTATCTAAAGAAGGCATTTCTTTTGTATCTGGTGGTTACCTGAATCCATCATAAATTTCAGATTTTTGTTGTGATGCCCCAGTTTTGTATAAAACATTGATATCGATCCGAACATTTTAACGTGTCATTACATTATTTTTACGGTATAACGAATAGTCTATTTCTTCCCCCATTGTAATGTAATTTGCTGATTTGTTAACTTTTACTCTTACTATGCGAATTTCTCCAATTTCGGACAAGGTCAGTTTTCATGTGTATACTTATTCACGTGTTTTGGATTGATTCATTGTTATTATATTATATTCTCGGAGTAATACCATTAGCGCCTCGAAACCATAACAATTTTCTAAAGCTTCTGTATATAAATGTATCTTATTAATATTAAGTATATATTTTACCTCAAGTATGTACAAAAGAAGGTTATTTTGCTTTATGCGTACTTTTTACAACTGATTTCTTTTGGATAAATATTAAATATACTTCTTCAGATCCTATGTTCTTACTTTCTAGAAACTGAATTATTCAACGGCCATTCAGTTTCTCGTTAGTCCAATAGCAATAAAGTCCTTTGTGGTAGTCACTCATGACATATCGTTGTTGTTGTTGTTTTCTCATAAAACCGTGTGTCATATTTAGGCGTACCATGAAAGCTGTAAGACAGGCGTGAAACTACTTTTTGATCTAGAAACGTATGGTTTTAAATCTGCATGACCAGTTGTTCTCGTACAACAATGGACCCATAGATCATTTTCTTATTTAAAAAGGTTTCTTTGAAAAGGTTGTTTAGTTTTCCAACCTTAACCCTATAGTTTACGGAACAAAAATCACAGGCTTGAGTTTTACGAACTGAAAATGAAATAGCGGTAAAAATATGTTAACTCACACTTTCAAATAAAACTCCACAATGTGTTATATGAATATAACCCATTTTCTGAAGTAAACAAAATAAACTGACTCTGTAGAACGATATCAAGGTTATTAACTATCTCGTCAATACATAAAAGTTTGAAATTCTTTTATTTCAAACATATGGCAACCAGTTAATAATTATTTTCCTGATCAAGATCACTAACGAGTGTTCATCTCTGTGGACATTCATGGACCTTCCAAAGTACTAAGTATTATATAGACTTTACTTCTTAGATCATGTTATTAATTATTATTTTTCCCTTGGGTTCCTAGTGGGACATAGGGCTTCAGTAGCAAGCCTCCATTGCACTATCTTCTCTTCAGTTTTTTGGACCTGGCACCACGACTGCCCTCAAGCTTTCATTTCTTTCTCACATGATCTCCATGTCACCCTCGGACGCCCAACTCGTTGTTTCCCCTTTGGGTTCCACTCGAGGGTCTGGCGCGTGATGTCCCCAGTTGGTCTTCTCAGTGTATGAGAAGGTCATGTTATAAATAGACTTAAGTGCTTGCATTTATTGTCGCTCGTCTAGTGATCAACTGAGTTTTTATCTTGGCAAAAGGTTGTTTAGCGGTAAACAGCTTGTCTTTAGAAAAATAGATTTATTTATTCTGAATATAAGTTTTTAGAAAATATCTTTCATAAAAAAAGAATAGATAGCTAGTACGTCAGTTTTAGTCTGTGCACAATTCGAAAATTTTCAGTTGGAACTTTTCTGTCAAGTCTATTGGTTTATTAATTTGGTTAATTAAAACCAGTAGGTCACGAATTTCACCAGTGTCCCATTTGTCGAAGTCTGAACAGTTATGCATTATCTGTGACACAATATATCTGACACAGTGTGGTTTACATACACCTATAAGTTAGACTGTTACAAGAAATTATTGTCTAATGATTGATATATGTTTGAATTTATATCGAAAGAGGGAAATGTTGCTTGTTATAATCAATTAGGTCATTAAAGAAGACAAACAGTTTAAAAGTGTTAGGATTATTCTTAGAAAACTCGGATATAGTTACGTTGGATGCCGTCTGCTTTCATTTTCATAATATCCGAACGAGGGCAGGGCGATTGCATTTTGGTGGACACTTTGTAGATTGAACTGACGCATAGTAGATTTGTGAAGAATAGTTAACATATATTGACATACTTTATCATAATATTTGTAAAGTAAGCTTTCTATATAAGAGACAAATCATATCTGCATTCACTAATCAGACCGATGATAATTGTAGTAAAAGGATCAAAGCGAAGGTCAATAATTATCATTCCTTTCACGAGAAAAATATGTAGGGGTTACATGCTGGAAAAATCTAACAAATCCAACTAGGGTTTTGACATATCTACACTTTTTAACAATAGCTTATGGAATAAGAAATAACCATATTTCAATCAAACTGATTAATGACAAGCTAATACAGTCTGACGATAAACATGTACTTATTGAAAAAGTTAAGTGGTACACTGTTGGCTGCTTGAAGTGAACAGTTATGATTACCTTTGGGATGAAGCATATGGGTTACATAAGTTCAGAATAACCTGAAGATCTTGGAATGTCGAGAATATTCTATTCATATAGTTCACCCTTGTCCCTAAGGACTTCTTTCAGCGAATGTTTTTACCAATTCAAGTAAGTGTTAAACCAGCACTAAAACACTTGGGTTTGTCTACTAAATCATATAACCAGGATAGGAAACAAAAGCTGACACGAAGTATGTAAGCATTTCTGAATAAAATTCAACCCTTTTAACATAAGTCTATATGTATCAAGATTTTCTATTACGTCTATATCAACACCCAGTTGGATTGTCAACATGAAAACAACTACCCAATTTACAGAAGCATTTAGTACCTTTAACTTACTATCTAGTAGCGTTACTGTGCACTGATTTAGAGTGGTTAGTAAACATAGATTAAGTTTTAATGTGCTCATAAGATATCTGCAAGCAAATTATCAAGTATGTCATGAACATCTTTAGTGTAAGGAGAATAAAGCTGACCACTTTGAAATAAAAAGTATCAGTTCTATTGATTAGTACTTCATAAGGTTACAATACTTCACGTAATGTCTGAAAATCGTCAAGTAGGCAGGACAGTAGAATACAACGTACAAATGTATGTTATATTTAATATTTATTACTCATTTCAATATTACATTAAATATACTTTAAAATAGAGTTCAGGTAATATTAATTATAGGTCCTTCGATAAGTACCCATTTTACTATAGAAAATTATTTTTCAATTGTTGACTAACACCACAACAACTCAATCTCATTAGTTTGTTTTGAGAAGTGCTTAAACTTCCCAATACTTCTTTTCGTACTTTAAACGCACCAGTTCGTCCATTATACCTTGTTATTTGATTGAATAGAATCCACATCTACAAATACTATCTCTGAAAAGTGGACTTCTTTTCAACATTTGATAGAGATATTTCATTCTGGTAATTCTTAGAAATTGCATTAACTTTCAACTGGATATGATCTTCAATCCATTTTTGTCTGGTTGTCAATATCGGTTAGTTGTTATAAATGATACCGTGTCGGTTAACTATGATTTCTCCGATTTTGACTGCGTATAAGTTTAAATAGTAGAAATAGTTGAGATTTCATTCAGTAATAATTTTACTGATTAGTAATATTCTTATTAGATTGTAAATGACTAGTTGAGGTTAAATTGATGTATACATTATGAAGTAAATTTAATTTCTTGGAGTCAGCGGTCGATTGAGAAATACTACTCAGCATTAGCTCATAGTTGTAGTCTGCCTCCAAATATTATTGATATCCAATATACTGTAGTTCGGTAGCTCCTCTATCCGTCAACGAATATGGCCCATTTTCTCAATCGATGAAGAGAGAAAAGAAATCAACCTTGAGGTGCTGAGCTCTGTAGTGTTTTGTATGTTGAATAAACATCGGATAGTGTCGAAAAACATTTCATGAGAAACAGAAAAAATATCCTGCACGCTGTCTTCGTGGATATATATATATATATATATATATATATATATATATATATATATATATATATATATATATAGGTCATGGTTAGGTAGTATCATACTCCTTTGTACATACATGATCAAAGAATAATAATAGGTTAAGTACTATGTGTACTGTTTAGTTTATCAACATGACTGAACTATAATCCTTAATTAACAACAATATAGCATAATTCATTTTCTAATTCATATTGCCTTCGGTTAGTCAAGAAGTGACTTTGGGAACAAAATGTTTTCCATTTGACTGAAGTAAAGATACACAGAAAATTTATCAGTCCTAAGTGATGGGATGTGACTGAATGTGAAGTTCACTCTTAGATATTGTGCTTGTTAATGCCTATAAACATAACGTCTCTGTAATTTCGAGCAAATTGATACCTCACATGAAATTCAAGCTCATCATCTTCAACATGATAATGAAAACTACTACATTCACGTTATTTATGTTATAATCATTACTTTTCTACATTCAGAACTTTTTATCGGGAAATGGAAAGTAGAAAATTTAAACTGTTGCAGTAGCGATAAAGATTTAACTATATGAAACCCTTACTAAATCTTATACTTTAGCATATCTCTGTACAGTTACTTTCTTAGAAACAATCTAATTAATTAGTATTGTAAAGTCAGGTTACTAGTGATAAATGTTCATAAAATAACCTACTTAAGTGTTCCTTGGTATTTCACACTTTACTATGTTCATATGATGATCTGAAGTTGCCATCATTTTCTTGTCTTCTGTGTCGTCACTTGTTTGTTTGCTGGTACTGAACTCAATAGATTGGTTTGTTTCGTTTCTGCTGGTGTCATTGCTACCACAATGATAATCAAAACTTTCAGTTGTCATCGTTGTCTTCATCATTATTTTACTGATGATGGTGTAACTCATTGGATTAGAAGTAGTTTCTGTGGTATGAACAAAACTATTACTAAAGCAAACTGATTGTATACTTTCACTTCTACTCATTTCCCTCGTTAAACTACGGGATACACTAAGAGAGAATTCAACAGATGAATTTACACTGATTGATCTTTTCACTGTATTCGTAATGTTGGTTTTCTTATTGGTTAATTCATTTCTACCCCTTAAACTTTTTGGCTGGCAGCTATACATATAAGGATGAGAGGATATATTCTCACTTGCATCAGTATAATCAAATTTTTCACACAACATTTGTGTACTTTTGCTTAGTTGTTCTGGAAGTTTGTATGAATTCAACATTCTCAACGGTATTCTTTCCACCTTAAACTATTCTACCTTTCTCCTCTTCTTCCCATAGGTTTTAATATCAAAATACAAAATTGCTTCTGGTGAGTATTGTTCCACAATGACTTCAATACAACTTAAAGTATTGATGCTTGAATTATCTTCGAGGCCATTGACGGACAAATGATTTTGATCTGCATAGTCTGTTCCATAGTTTCCGTGTGTTCTTTATTCAATTTATGATAGTTCAGATGATTTTGTACATATAAAGTACTATCTTCACATTCTGAATCAAAATATGAAGACATTTTTGTCATAGTCAAATGGCTATTAAGATTTTTACACGATTGACAATTGAATTTTGGGCAAAAATCATTGTACATTGAAAAGCATTTTATTCTGTTAGGAAGTGAATCTTTTAAGTTGTAGTTAACTATATTGAATCAATTCTTGTGGTTTTTCAACGCATACTTCATTACATCTTTGTTATGTTGAACTATCACACATTTTTGTATCTTTTGCTTCATATTGTACACATGATATTTAGTCAAAGTGATGTCTATCTGGTATTTATAACGATACATTGATGAATAGTATTCTATGCTGTAATTTATGTCTATTCCAAGAATATAAACTTCTACTGCATAACAGTTATAATTAAACAGAATTGGTGAAACTTGTGAACTTCTTATTTGCCTGACAATACATTTTGTCTTTGGTTTAAATCTTATCATGTTTTTAAGCATTGTTTTCACCGGTTTCAGTCTATTGTTCTTATTTTTACTCTTGGCTGCTACCATTCATGTTACGTTTGTTTTCGTAGTAATAATATATGATGTCAGTATCAAGACAGTCACTTTTACATTGTGAATCATTGTGAAGCTGCAATTCATCTTCTAAATTTCAAACTTGGCTAGTTAATATACCTGATAAACAGCTATTCCTATTCTTAGTGCAAATTTTGATAAGAAAATTGATCCAAGTAACTGTCCCATCAAAATATTTGTTTCGTTTACTGGAATTTTTTGAAGGATTTAAATGTGGATAACTTATTCAATACGTCTCGTACGTATTTTGTCACGCTTTTTGTAGCTAGTACTGAAGTAAGTTTTCTGAAACATTGTCTATAGAAATACATATATTCAAAGTTATGGCAGCATTTAAAAAAATCGAAAGCACATTAGTCAGTTGCATCGAAAGAGTCTAAATGAATACAGTGGATGGTATCGAATTAAACTGAAATAAAATAAAACTTATCACGGAATTAAATTAGTCTAACTGGAGGCTAATATGGATTTAAAACGTACCAAAATACTGGTGGTATTCATGAACGATAACCTATTCTCTTGATTACATTACCCTTGACTCAATCATAAAAATACTGAGATGAAAAAAGGCCTAATATATATATATATATATATATATATATATATATATATATATATATATATATATATATATATATATATATGCAAAAGACATTAGGCTACATTCGATGAATAGTCTTGGATCGAATAAAGTCACTGATTCTGATGAATCGATACTACCTTTCTCAATTTAAGTATCATTTTTGGACATTGAAGCTGTCCATATTTATCAAATAACGCAAAGCGAGAAATTAGCACTGAAGTTCGAAAAATGATACCAAGACACCGAATTTGTGCAATGAACCACTAAAATGTACATTTTCTTGAAGTAACCGTATGTTAAGGGAAAGATCATGTTATATGCTGAATTAGCATTTAAAATTTGCTTTTATCATGTGTGAACCTATTACTTCTCTTTGCTAAACCTAGTTCAATGGATAAAGTGAACTGCAATCTTACAAATTCAATTCACCATGCATGAAATACCACTTACTATTCAGTTCGGGAAAACTGTCTTCCAATATGAAATTTACGAATACTATATATCATTTTTCACTAGATTCCCATATTGTATTTTATTTACGAATCTGAATAAGTTAAATGTTTTTGATTAAGTAATAAATATGTTGTTCATATTTGTTGCGAATTCTCTGGAAGAATTTAAACATTGAGTCTGTTTTAATTATTGTCAGAGTAGGTCTTAGTATAGCCCCATTATGTTCAGGAAATCCTGAACTCTTTTAAAGAAGAAGATGTGGCGTACACAGAGAAACTTTAATAAAATCATATTTTAATTCTCGAAGCACTGGGATAACATTGAAACTTACCTTCCTAAATAAATACTCACTTAAATATGAACTACTTGTGAGTAACTGAATTTTACTTCAAAAATTTTATCACTCACTTAAACAAACCCAAATTTCTAGCTCGTAAAGGAGACAAATTTTGTCACTTCTATGAATCGTGTGTTTCAGAAACTGCGTAGTTAAATCAGATTACCGAATTCAAACTTTAATAAAATCGGTGATCGCTAAGTGCTTTCAACAAGTTGGTATAAAGGGAAAGGGAAACACACTTTCAACGTGAATAAGTAGAATCTGATATTCCCTTTTAGAAATAAAGTCATTGCTATGACACCTAATTTTACCAACGTTTTACTGAAAGCATTGTTTAATACGCTAATGTGATTTCTAAAAAACCGTAAATGATATACCTACCACTGAAGGCGTTTAAGAAGACCTCCTAAAACAACTTTCTGCAAAATATACAGAAAAAAGATTTGAGAAGTTAATTCGGAGAATACTGTCAATAAGAAGCACTAGACTACATTCCTATGTTGAAATATGCAGCTAGCATCCTCCAAGCCTTGAGTTCTTGTATTTCACCTCTAAGAGATATGTCTTACACAGATATCTATAAATCATTTAGAAAAGAGCCGATGAATTGCTTTGATTCTTGAGATACTAAAAGTTATTTTACCCATGGAGACTATCAGTAAAAGAGATATAACATTCCGTGAGAATTTTAAGTCAATAAAATTAGGATGCCAGGCAGATGATATATAGCAAACACCTCAAGAATATTCGACTTCCTATGTTATTGAGTAGTTTCTATTCTATAAGTTTTCATGCTAAGTGCGTCAAAAGCTAACTGAATAATAGAAAACCCTAAAAGGTTGCGTGATGAGAGTGACATACTCAGGTCTTTATATAGCCAAAGTGACAGTACATTCGGATTCACAGAGAGTTTGAACTCCAGGGATAGAACAAACACCTGTCTAGTAATCTTCTCTCCCGAAATAATATATCCAGTGATTTCGATCTGCGTACGGCAGAAAAATTTTATTCCACCCAAAAGGCATTTTTTCGTATTGCGGGAGTGAATATGCTTTCGAACATACAAGATTGCAGCAAATTATTCACCTGGCGACATAATATGTAGATTGGTCGATTAAGTGAATTTCAAATTTTAGATGGCTGGCTGAAATTTCAGTTGAGCTTGAAATATTACAAATATTACTATTTGTCCCTTGGGTTCCCAGTGGAACATAGGACTTCAGTAGCATATCGCCATTTCACTCTCTTCTCTACACTCTTCCTAACCTGGCTCCACCACTCCCCACAATCTTCCATTTCATCCTCACACCATCTCATCCATGTCAACATCGCCTACGACACCAAACTCGTCAATTCCCATTTAAGTTCCACACGACGACCTGGCCTGGCATGTGATGTCCAAAAACGAACTTCTCAGTACATATCCAACCCAATCCATCTCCACTTGATTCTGTATATTTGTTGGACGATAGGTTCTTGTTTCATTGGTTCGTTGCCAGCCAACCAGCCAGCCAGTCAGCAAGAATGAGTTCCTTGTTTCTCATTCTTGTTATTCTGGCCATCTATCTGATCTTCAGTATCGGATGAGTGAGTGAGTGAGTGAGTGTAGGAAGCAGCTGTTGATGCATGTCTGTAGTTTGCTGGGAATGCTTTTCGTAACCCACCAAGTCTCCCAACCATCACATAGAAGTACTGACTGACTTGACTGAATTAGTGTTGAAAATGTGGATGTTGTTCACGCTTTATGCTGATTGCAGTGCAATGCAGTGAAGTTCAGTGCAATGCAGTAGATGTCAACACTGATTACCTCAGATCAATGAAGACCTGTGTTACTGTCGTTCTAATCCTGGCTACTTTGGCAGCCTCACACGTGCCTGTGCCACCACCCGTAGTTGAAACGATGCTGCCTGCGTAGGTAGGTGAATGAGACAACATCGTTTAGATTTCTCACATTCATGGTGATTAGTGCTTGCAGTTGTGGTTTGGTTAGTTATCTTCATCACCTCTGTCTCCTCATCGTTCAACTGAAGGAAGTGGTATCTTCACTGCTCTGCCTCTCCCGTCAGCTTGTTAGTTTTCACGTGTAGATCTTCCAGCTTGCACGACAAGATATTAGACATAAATCACCATCGACGAAACCAGTCAAATAGCACAAGCCCATCTTCTCATAGCTCCTCACAGTTTGTTGAATGATCCAGTCGAGTGCAGTCAACCACAATCAGGAAGATGATCGGTGATAGTAGGTGGCAGGCAACCTTGTCTTACTCTTGTCTGTCTTCACTTCGAAGGCATCATTGAACTTTCCATTGTCAATCATTAGGCATGTAGCATCGTGATCATCACACAGCTAGCTGTTGGATGAGGTTGATAAAGTATTGTGGCACTGGAACCATAGTGTTGAAGCAGCTGCCTGCCAAATTACTTCCCCACCATGGCCGTCGAAGGCCTTTTCTAAGTCGATGAAGTTGAGGTAAGTTAGAGAGTTGGTTGCCATTCTATGCTGATGCTGTGATTCTATGATGATGTGTAGCATAGTGTTGCAATTTGATGCACGCATGATTTGTTCTTCCTGATGCTGGCCAGCTAGCCAGCCACTCAGCTAGCCTGTGCCGATCGTCATCCAGTTGAATGCAAATCATTTCTCAGTTCCTCCAGAATGAGGCGACATAATATCTCCTTTGATGTGGACAGGAACACGGGCATGATTCCACACCAGTTCTTGTTCGTGCAAATACTTGAGTCTCACTTGTTTGGGAGTTTGACAAGGTAGTCCTTCTTCCAATCGATCACCCGGTAACTTTCTCCCCTTTAT